AAAAAAAAAAAAAAAAAAAAAAAAAAAAAAAAAAAAAGAATATCACTTAATAATGATAAAAGCATCTGTTAAATTAGAAGATATAACAATGTTAATATTTATGTCCCCCAAAACAGAGCCTAAAAATACGTAAAACTAAAACTAATAGAACTGCAAGGAGAAATAGACAAATCCACATATTGTTATATACTTCAAAATCTCTCTGTTAACAATTTAAAAATCCTTTCATCTGTTGATGGTCACTTAGGGTGATTCCATATCTTGGCTATTGTGAACATGCTGCAATAAACAGGGGAGTACAGGTATCTCTTCAATATGTTTATTTCCTTTCTTTTGGATATGTAACTGGTAGAGAAATTACTGGATCATATGGTGGTTCTACTTTTGTTTTTGTTTTTGTTTTTTTTTTGAGGAATCTCCATACTCTTCTCCATAGTGGCTCTACTAATTTACATTCCTACAAAGTGTGTGCGAGTGTTCATGTTTCTTTGCATCCTTGTCAACATTTGTTATTTTCTTTTTCATAATTGTGATAATTGTGATTTTGATTAGAGTGAGATGATATCACATTGTGGCTTTAATATGCATGTGTCTGATGATTAGTAATGTTGATCATTTTTTATATACCTGTTGAATATTTTTGTTTGTCTTCTTTTGAGAAATATCTATTTAGGTCCTTTGTCCGTTTTTACATTGTATTATTTTTATTTTGCTATTGAGTTGTCTGAGTTTTTGTATATTCCAGTTATTAATCCCTTATTGGACAGATAATTTGTAAATATTTTCTTATATTCTGTGGGCTATCTCTTCACTCTGTTGATTGTTTCTTTTGCTGGGCATGATCTTTTAGCTTGATGTAATTTCATTTGTCAGTTTTTGCTTTTGTTGCCTGTTTTTGAGGTCTTATTCAAGAAATGTTTGCCCAGACCAATGCTTAATTTTTTTTTTAGTAGCAGTGACACAGTTTCGGGTCTTAAAGTCTTTATTTTTATTTGATTTTTATATACAGTAACAGGGTTCTAGTTTCATTTTGCATATGGATATTTAATTTTCTCAGAACCATTTATTAAAGAGACAGTCCTTCACCCAGTGGATATACTTGGAGCCTTTGTTAAAAATGACTTAGCTGTAGTTGCATTGATGTATTTTTGAATTCTCTGTTCTTTCCCCTGGGTCTATGTGTCTTTTTATACTAGTACCATGCTGTTTTGGTTACTCTAGCTTTATAGTATATTTTGAGGTCACGTGATGTGATGCCTTCAGCTATTTTTTTTTTTTTTTTTTTTTTTTTTTTTTTTTTTTTTTTTTTTTTTTTTTTTTTTTTTTTGTCTTGTGGCTAAGACTTGCTT